GGTCTGGTGATTCTGGTTCGGTATATCCAAAGTTCGGTATATCCAGGTTCGGTATAGGCAGAGTCAACTGTACATAGTAAATACGCAAAATACAAACATTCGAAAAAGGAGGGTTTCCATATGTTTACTAATTGATTGTCAGGCTGATTTGATACTTTTTGTCCGGTGAGTGTATGTCTGAAGCGCGAAACTGCGACTGAGTAACTGAAAGTACAATAGAAAGGTTTCTCTATGTGACGGGTTTATGCTAAACTACCCGGAATCGTTACAGTAACGTGTTGCATGTGATGTGGAATGTTGGTGTCGCACACAGATATGTTGTGTTGGAAGACAGTTAACTTGGCATTTTGAGCGTTCAACCCAGTATGTTTACTATCAAGCGATTAACGAAATCGAATCTCTCTACTCTGATTAGTCGAAATCTAAATTTTTCGTTTTTTATCTCATCGGTCCTATTTTATAGTCAAGCATGTTAAAAAATAACAAAACAAGACCACATATTCCGCTTGTATTTCTAACTGATTGGAAGATAGAGTTTGTAAAATACCTACTGAGAACCAAGAGTTAATTGTTAAACATTAAATATTAAAGTCATTATGCAAATTTATCAATGAAGAGTTATTTTTAATGAAACTCGTAAATCAGTCTAAGATGTAGAAAAGTATAGACGGCATAACACTAATCCTCGAACATGGGCTGACCATAATGAAAACACCTTATTTCTAGAATAAATCGTAAATACTATTATATATTATATAACTATTGTTATAATAGGCCTGTTCAATTCTTTGTTCCGTTCCGTTCTGTTGTTTTTCTTTTCACTCCAAAATTTCAAGTTTTATTCTTTACAAAAAAAATATATATTTCTAAAAGCCATTAGAACCCTTTTGTGCAACACAACCTTTTATTTTTTTTCACGCTTATTAATAAAACGTGTGTGAGATGAGGATGGGAACTGCAAATTTGTTGTTCCCTCTGTTCACATTCGTTCCCGTTAATCCGCCAATCAAGGATCGGCACAGATTGGAACGGGACAGAATTGGACATCTTATTTTACTTTTTATTTTGAAATATTAATATACAAGTTTTTGAGTAAAATTTAAGCCTAACTCGGTTCATAGACAAGGAATTTAGATTTCGACCAACAAGAGTAGAGAAATTCGATTCCACTTGGGAACGTGGGTTGACGCTCAAAATGCCAAGGTATCTGTCTTCCCACAATACTTTATTGTATTGTACAAAATTAACTAAGCAATATATTCTTTATATTAATCTGCGTGCAACACAAGATTTTAAGGCTGATGACTGGCTGAAAACGTCGTACGGACGGTCACGTTACTGTAACCGATTTTAGCTTTCTTGGGTAGCTTTTATTTTATGAAAATGAAAAAATTGTGTCAAGAGGAGGAACATTATTAGTTAATGTATTATTTCCCCTCTCAATATCTTTTTCTTCCTTTACACAGAAAAAAAGCTGTTGGGCTTGAATAGTAATAATTCGTTAATAACTAATAAGTCAACTACAAGAATAAATAAAATATTAGCAGTATAATAAGCGCATTGTATAATTTATAAAAGATCTGGTATTGTATGGACGTTTAGTATAGCCTGTTCCGTTTTAATTTATGCCGCCCTCTGATCGGTGGATAAAAATAACATAATCGGAACAGATGAGAACAAAACTTTAAAAGGTGTGAAAAAAGGGTTCTAAGTCGAAATATGTCGCCTTGTTTGCAAAAAAACATTTGTAGTCAGAGTGAAAAAAAACAACGGTAGATAATACATACCGGTGTTTTTGAGAAAAATGAGGAAACACGAAATTTGTCTTCTGATTTTGATACAAATTTGCCAATATATTACCCATGTACACTCACCGGAAAAAAGTATTTAGATCAATTAGTAAAACATATGAAAAATCTATTTTTTTCGAAAAGCTCTATTGTACGTGTTTATTATGTGAATCGCAATAAAATTTGGATCATTTTGAAGCTAATTGGTTGGACTTTTAAAAAAAATAGTGTAAAAATTTTTATTAGTCATTGTAAGAAAGGAGTTGTTCGTTAAAGTGCCAGTATAGACGTTACACATATGTTTTCATAGATTTTCATATGTGTAACATTGATACTACAAACTGCAGCTTCAGCGGTAATTATAATGAGATTAAATATATCACTGTTTTTTTCGAAAATACGTAGATAGAGCTCTTTGAAGAAAAAGATTTTTCATATGTTTTACTAATTGATCTGCCAATTTTGTCGATACTTTTTTCCGGTGAGTGTATCTTGTCCGTCAACAGATGTGTCAATAACCAACCCCTTTTCTCTAGTGATCAGAAATTATTATTATACCCAATGTATAAAATAATATATACGTTTATGCATTAAAAATATATCGGATGCCGTATAATAGAAAATGAAACGTATTATAACGGTTGAACTTTATTCTTGTTTGGATTGTTTTGTCCGCAGCCCTTAACATTCATCCAGTTATTGTTGGTTTCATCGATTAGTTTGTCAGCTGACAAACGCCGTTATTTAACAAATAACAAAGTTTAGAAAAATGAATATATTCTAGACTGCTCTGGCTTGTATACTACGTAACTCCAATTTACGTTCAATGATCGACCAACTTTAACTTAAAACGACAGATGTATTATTACAATAACATTTCACAATCACGATTTTGGAAAATCTCTACATGGAATAAAAACGGCCGACAAATTCTTGTCAAAAGAGCCAAATTACAGTCTCATATACTGTATGTAAAACTTCTTAGTATCATTTATTCTTAGACTCTTGAATATTTCCCCGATATACAACTTGTCTCCCCCCTTACACGCAATCGTGGCCATTGCATTTAGTTTCCGGATTTTGGTGGAACTGCGGCCCGCCCCACTCCAAATTGGGACCCCATAAATGTACCCCCGTTTCTTTTCACTCGCTATTGTAGTAAATGCGATGTCATCATACAAGAATGTAAGTTTAACAGAGAGCGAAATGAAGAAGGATTACGGGCAAATGAGCGAACTTACGGAAGTTGAGGTGTTAAAGGATAACAATTTATTAGACAGCAACTGCTTGAAATAATTTACTTTATTGTTGAATGTCAAATTTATGAATTTGGTTAATCTGCTTGCTAACTACGTGTATTTACAATAAATGATTGCCACATGATCCAGTCACATGATATAGTCTACATTATTACTACGCAAACACATTTCTGAAACAGATTTCGTTCTTGCTCTTGTCACAGAAACTCGGTTTAAGGCGAATCATCCGAAAACAACTGAAATGATTGAGCTATTTGAGGTGGGCGATTTGGAATATCGGCGAAATGCTGATCGTTTCTCATTCAGATCATCAACTTCGGCACAACCGTTTGTTATTGAGCTTGTTATTGCTGTCCTTGTATATTCGATAATGTTAATTTCTTATGTTGTTCTCCAGAAACCAACAATAATACCTCCAACGATACTTCCTTCCATATTCTGATTATTCTTTCCCGTCTTTTATGTTTATCAGACCTTTAAGAAGTTTCACGTTCTCTCCGAGCATACAGACAAAGCTCTTATTTTTGCGCATCAGATAAAGTAATCTTACTTTTTTTGGAGGCATAGTAATAGCGTTTATTGGAAGACGAATTAACTATGCCCTCCCTTATGTCAGTCAAAAATAATTATTCGTTGATGTCATATATTAATATGGCCTGATGTAAACGATCGGTACAATGCGAGTTTAGTAAATCACGCCACATTTGGCAACTTAACATTCTGCATCAGGCCGGGAGTTGAATCAAGGCAGTTTACTTGGATGGCGAGTATTCTACCCTATACTACGAATGCATAAGTGTCACGTGAGTGCATTTGCGGAGGTTAGAATGATCCTTGGGAGCGTGAAATCAGTTGCATGAGAGTGTGCATTTAGAGAGTCGCTCGATGTTTACACATTCGTTATATTTATGTAGGCGTTATAATGTATCAGGTTCTAGTATTGACGAAAAAGAATTGATCCACAAAGAAAAAAGAAAGAACAGTGTTTATTGTGACAAGAATGATTGGTTCGAGCATTTGATTAAAGCCCGGCGGAGGTGGGGATGCGTAGGATATTATCGTTCTGTCAAGGATGGAATTGAATTGTTCTTATTCATGCAGTAAGGGGTATGAGAGTCTGAAACTGGGTAAACACGAAAAAGCCGATAGGGAGACTGTTGGGTTGGAAGAGGAAGCCATCGCAGAAACCTCCGTGACAGCAGAACGATTGCAAATTCGATATACAAGAAACTTCACCAAATCTGATCTTAAAAAGTTGGAGACAGAGTGCAACTGGTCCAGTTGACGTTGCCTATACCGAACCTGGATATACCGAACTTTGGATATACCGAACCAGACCCGATTTTTCCTAATCAATAATCCGATTATAGCGCAAGCTCTGGTTATAACGAACTAAAATTCTCCAGCCGGTCAGTTCGGTATAGGCAGCGCCAACTGTACGTGATATTCACAACAAGAGTGAGCCTTGAGATAGAACGGCAACATCAATTGCCTATTGGTATATTCATGATTCTCTATACTGATGCTTCAGTTTGAAGATATCAGGCGGAGCCCCAACTATACACATCGAGACAAAATCGTCATTTGGTTCAAGTCTCGAGTTTTCTTCCCAAATCAAGAGAAACGGTTAACCAAAAAGAAATATCCATACGACTCGTCCATTGTCCTCTTCATTTACCTGGATATAGCTCTCGCTCAAGAATATTGTCTGTGCATTTATCTCCGACTATCAGATCCTGCATTCGTACCATAGAAGGACTTTCTGTATGCCAGTACCCTTCATGGCGCCCCCTCGTGTCGATGGGTTTTGGAAGGTATCCGACTTGTCTGTTTATAAGCAAAAAGTTTCTCGTCAATCGGGAACGGCGAAAGCATTCCCACTGATTCTTAAGATTGACGATTAATAATTAGTTAACCAACATTTTTATTACCGTGTTGAAGGCCCCGCGCCATTACTTACTCGGGATGTATTGCTGTCAACGGAACCTATTTGATAACAAGCACCATATAAAATATGAAACTTGATGCTCGACACGCGAAATGCCTATTACTTGTGGGATAATATTTTACCTTGGAATAGTGGAGATGGAGGTAAATCCAGCGTCAAAACAAAAAAGACGATATTCTTGTTGCGGCCTCTGCAAGAAAAGGCACAATCCGTTTCAGAAAGAATTGTTCGCTTTGTCGAATATTTCCCGCGAGCGTAGTATTATGTGCGCGTTCCCAAATGCTCTATGCCAGCTTATACGAGTGTCTATCAAGATCAAACGTCAACCGATCCTTCTCGTCAGCATCTTCTTTACGATTACGCTCTGCCTATGTATGATATCTGTCAAACAATAATCGATAGAATCAGAATCACGTAACAAGTCTACAATACCTTTCTAACTCATGCTTCTCAAAGGCTCGTATTCTCAATATACTTACTGCTTTCTTCGATTCCCTCCAAATCCCTATGTAGGCGTTCAAGAATCACGCACGGTGTAAATTCTAGCGAACCATCTGTTCAGAGAGCATGAGCCGTTTGTATAACGTATGGGAAATCTCTTGTAGCAACGCCTGAGGGACTGACTTATCCTTTGAACGCCAAATATTGCGTAATAAGATGCTGAACTTAAAATGGATAGAAGACTGAGCGGGTTTAACGCTCAATAGCCAGCATAAGTCGGATCTTACCAAAATTCTGATCCAACTGGTGAAAGTCGGGTACAGACTAATACCAAGTGAAAAAAACAGCCGCTAAACTATAATAAGTAATAAATTCCAAAGTACTATTCTGATGTGTAAAAGTTACTTGCTCTCTACCTGGATGTCGTTCCGAAGTCGAATTCTGTACATCTGATAATATAAATCTAATGACAGTATCCATGTGTCGTGTGTGTATCGTGTGAGACAGGAATGGAGGTCTTTATAATGGATGTAGATAATAAACACATACATGAACAAAGCATGGGAATCTACAACACTCACGGCTAACAATAAAAAATAAACAGGCGGTTTTAAAGTCAAAAATCCAACGTGTGTCGATTGAATAATGCAAATATAAGGACTAGTCGCTCTAAGACATGGAAAGAAATACGAAAGAATATGCTTAGTGTGTCCGAGTATATCGACCCGGATCGTGGCATAATTTGTCTATTCTTCAGCGTTTGCTCTTCGCTATCAATTGTCACTTTGCTCAAGTCATAGAAAATTTATAACGGCCTATAATTTAACTTCGAAACTTACTATTTTTTGTTCTTAAGTGAAAATGTTTAACTGTGTGTTACATAATCCCCATCCATAGCTTATATGTTTGGTTTAACCGTCATAGCATAATAATAATCTTAAATTAGAGTAAGGTACTTAATCATCCTATCCTCAGGCATCCATATTAAGCAGTACAAAGAAGTTCTCATAATCCATATCATTATAATCTTATAGTTCAGCCATTTCGAATCCAAAAGTGAGCAAGAACATCCTCGATGCACTGTGGCCGTCTGTTTGGATCAGCATCCAACATCGATTCCATCAACAGCACACATTCTTCTGAGGGACGATTGTCTTTACTAAACATGACCGGACCTAGCGCTTTGGCAATAACTCGTTCTTTCGGATAAGGTTCGATTCGTTCAAAGAGTTGATAGAAAATGTTTCCTAATACCCACACTTGCGCAGTTGCTCGTCTGTAAATATCGTGGCGGTTATACATTTCAGGTGGAACAACTGAGTTGAGGGAAAGGGGTAAAAAAAAATATTAGCAAAAGCACAAGTAAACGTGCATTTTGAGTTTTGAATTTACTTACTCGATCCAATTATTTCATATGCTTCGTTTTGCTTCGCCTCGATCGCCAAATCAAAATTGACTAATTTAATGTTGCTATCAATGTCGATAACTATATTTTCCAATTTCAAATTACGGTGGTAGATTCCATAGTCCTCCAAGTGTTTACATGCAAACAGCAGCTGGCGCATAATTTTTTTTGCTTGCTTTTCTATTAATTCAACATTTTCCTTTGCAATATCGTTTAGATAATCTCTTAAATTTAACTTATAGCATTCAAACATAATCATCCACTCTTCAGGTCTGATCCTCATCCAGTAAAGAAGAGCCGCAATATTGGGATGAGGCGGAACGTTTCTGAGAATAACCACTTCTGTTGGCATCTCGACGTTATCGCATAAAATAGTGTTGGTTTTGGTTTTTTTAAAAATTTTTTCTGCTATCATAAGACGATTTTCTTCGTAACGATGTACGCGGTCAAGCAAACTTGGCTTTGATTTTATATTCTCCATACTGGAACTGACAATTGCACTTCTCGAATTTTGTTTCGTTGAAGCACGATAATAATGCTTAGGGCTTATCATCAATTTATAGTTTTGCTTTGGTATAGTATGATGTAATTATAGGAAGTGTTTGCGACAGTTTTTTGCATTTTTAATTGGTACACGGCCGCCCGGCCCCTCGCATAATACAGCATGACTTATCTGTTATTGTAGTTAATATATTTTATCGATGAAAATGGTCACATTAATGAAATGGGCAAGTTTAATGGAACGGACACGTTGAAATAGATGTTGAGATTACAACTTGTATTAGGCATAATCTTGGAGAAATATACTTTACGCATAATCAGTAATAACTGTGTTCGTCACTGTTTGTGCTGTTATTTTTATTCTTATTATTATGTAAAAACTCCGGTTTGTCAAGCTCGGTCTTATCAGCATCCGTTACTCGAAATAAAAAATTTTTTTTGAGCATATTTTTATTGATATTTCGTGCGTAAACATCATTATGTTTTTGTTTGGCAAAATGATAATCTGAGAAAGATAACATCAACCACCGACCTCACCCTTATCGGGGGGTGCTTTCTTTTCTGTCAAGTATTGTAAACAGTTTATTTATGAAAAACCAACTCAAAGAGTTTTTATCAAAAAAAATTAACCAAAAAGATTTTTTGTTGGAATGAAATAAAATAGAATTAGACTCATCGATGGTTTGGAGCATAAAGTCCCAGCTGCTGCAAAAGCAGGAGTCAAAAAACTAAATTGTGAACTAATCAAAAGGAACATTGCCTGCTGTGAACATAATATTCGATAATTTTTCACATATTTGTCACTTCTATTGAACACATAATTACTTGCATAAACTTCTGACGGATGAGGCGAGTGAATATAATATCTCCAAACGACTATTGTTCTTGTTCCTTGCATCTCATTGATAACGGCGGCGCAATAGATTAATTAACACAGAATTCGTGATCTTTTATCTTTCTAATCATTTAAACATTTGCCGTCCCTTAGGCAGGATTCGTTGGTGTAACAGCAAGCAGCGTTTCAAAACAAATTGCTTTGCAAGTGTGGTAAGAGCAAAAGCTTGTTATTCAGGGGTTAAATATCACAAACCTAGATACGAGAAAAGCCATATTCGGGGTATCCCATATTCGAAGTTTTTTTCTGCCAATCATTGCCGAGTGAAATGATAAAAAATGGGAGAATAGTTACACCTAATAATATTAATAACAAGACAAAAAATCTTAGTCTATTTCTTTTCTGTGTGTTTTGTGTTATGCCAATGTAAATGGAATTGGAGTAGAAAGGGATGAACAAAAAGCAGTTGAATGGTATGAAAATCACTTTCAATAGTGAAAAACCGCAAACTTCAAATCCCTAAGGTTTTTTAAGGACGCAAGCTATGCTGTACCAATAGACAGTATAGTACATGCGCTATAAGAAAATGTGGTTATTTTTTAATTTTTTTTATAAAAAATTGGAGAAATATGAAATAAAAGTTTTATATTTGTAAACTTACGATTCTGTCAAAGGAAACGAAAAAGTAGTATTATGTTCTTATAAAGTGCGTGTTATGGGGTATCCATTGGCATAGTTTTTATGCACGTAGCTTACTTCCTTCAGATGTAAAAAATTTTTTATTTAATATTAATATTTTTCATAAGAGATCCCCTACTGTATGTTTGTGATATGTTAAAACTAGCTTTAGCCCTCTTGGGTTAGCTTGGCAATATAGTTGTACTCAATTTGTGATATTACCGATAAGATTAGATCGAATCTGATTAGATTGCATACAGGACGCCTGCATATCACGGGTTATATCACGGGCGCTGGATTTATTTATGCAAGCATATTGTCATGGTTCTTTGTTCTTTGTTGTAGAGATACAATCGTTTGTTGTTGTACCACTTTCATTGATGGAAAAATAAAGTTTACGGATATTTACAATATCAGAATCTAATTACATATTTAATATAAGGTAAAAATTTTTTTATACGCATTTGTAATTATAGCTATACAATAAAGAACCTTATATGTGGTTTTTTCAATCGTACCCAATTCGGAATAGGTAGACCAAACCGAAATAAGCTTAGAGTGATATTTATGCGATATACACAGTCAGTCTCGATAAGTCGGCCAACTTGATTTGACCTCTAATGGCCGACTTTATCGAGAAAACCGACTTATCGAGAATCAAATGATTAAGTCTTTTAATTAATCCTAATAATAACGATCACATTTATTTATATAAAAGTCTTAGTCTATACGAATACATAACATTTAGGTTTAATGTATAATCTAATGACTGTCTATTGCATTAATCGCACGACATGTTTACAATGACTTATTCATTAATCATACGATTCTAAATAAGTAAAGATCTGTTATTGGCGCCAGTGTTTCATCATACAACTATCACGTGAGACCGACTTATCAAGATGCATTCAACTCGTTTGGAGCTGTTGCCCGACTTACAGCTTATCGAGAATTTACATAGATGGACCTATCGAGAATTTTTAAATAGTGAAAAGAACGTAGAAAAGATTTCGAGACTGACTGTGTAATCACAATTTATGCACAACGGTCGGACACATACTGCACAACACGGCAGGTTATATGTTAAGAGTAATAGTTTCGATGACAACGTTGACTACAGATACTATTCACTCTTACATGAAC